GCTCAAAATAGCCGCGACGGACGTAGCCAGGAATGGGGGGGGTCAGGCCCCCACCGGGGGCACGGCCGTGGGGTGTGGGCAGCGTGCTGCTCACCCGCCTCACCACCCATCCTCGGTCCCCAGCCCCGCGTGTGCTGCACCTGCGAGACCCCAGAGCACCGTCAGGCATCACGGCACCGCGGTGGCGACCCCTCCTTCCCGCTCCTGAGGCTCTTGTTTTAGCTCCTTCTCATCCTTTTCCCCTGCTCTAAAAAAAGGAACGGTTTAATGAGGCAGGCTTGGCAAATTAAGAAAACCAGCTGGAGGAGCAGCCTTCTGCCGAGGCCGGCTTCGGCACCGCGTGCCGCAAAGGGACCGGGGTGAGCCAGCGGTGGTGCCGAGCCTGAGCCCTTCGCCTGCTGCGCAGGAAACCCAGCTCACGGCGCCGCAGGGGCCAGCCCGGCTGGAAAACCCATCGTGCTGCTCACCTCGCCTACCACTGTGAAAAACCGGGTGACTTCAAAGCCAGGAGCTCGCGAGGTGCTGGCACCGCACGGCGGCCCCGGCATCACCCGGTTTCGTAACCGCGCTTGGCCCGGGGGAGAAAGAGCCTTTCCAAGTAACCCAGCCCTCCAGCAACCGGGCAAAAAAGAAAAAAAAAAAAAAAACAAAATACAGGAGTGTTATTCCTCTTGGCTAAGCAAGCCCTGTGCAAACTTCCAGAGGATTTATGGCATTTTAAAGTTTTCCCCTTCAGCACAGTACTTCTCCAAGACTAAACATCTTCATCAATTCTCAGCTGGCTGGGGTTAGGGCTGTGGCGCGGCAGCGCTTGGCTGCGGCAGCGAAGGTGCACATTTCTCTTGGCAAATCCCGAGCGCCGGCCCCGGGTTGGATCAGAGAGCAGCAGAGGGAAGTGAGCTGCCTGCTTTGAACAGCCACCATCATTCACACGTTATTTTTAATAGCTCAGCGAGACAGAGTCCACCCTCCCCAGGAGACTTGGCTCGAGCCCATCGCGCTCACAGCTTCGCCGAAACGCCATTAGACAAGCCGACAGGTCTGG